ACATGAATTTTGTAAAAAAATTATCTGGTTGCATGATTCAGTTGTAAGCATAACATTATTCTTATATTTTACCATATCACTTTATATATAAATATTTTTATGGAAACTTTGTAAGTGTAGTATTATTTTAATAGTAAAGTCTAAAAAGTTTTCACCGTATAATATGGAATGGACAGATGACAAATTGATCAAGCCCGACCAAAGACCAAATAGATACCAAATGGGTCAACTTAAACTCATATAGAGAGATAGAAATTTCAAATGTAAGGACATGAAATTTCAAACTTAAGACTTTAACACTGATATCAAATTAATATATTCAAAATTCGACAATAACCACGGTGAGAAGAAACACAATCTAACCAATATATAATTGAATAATATTAATTGACATATTCAATTATATATAAGACTATACTATCCAACAAATCAATTCATCGAATAATTATATGGTAATTGCAAGTCATAGAGCAATCAAATGAATTTTTATGTTTAGAGCTTACCCCAAAAGACCCAGGAAGAAGATATCTCTCAGGATTGGCAAATTGAGTTTGCTCTTACTATTTCTGCAAGACACAAATAATGTATATAGTGAATAAGAGCATATGATAATAATATATAATAAACTAAAAATTCCATTTAATTATCCAAATAAACATGCATTAATATATATGAAAAAGAAATTAATAAAGAAGTTAAAACCTTTCAAAGAGAAATGCCAGAATAGCAAGAGTAAAACTCCAGTAATTTGCCCATAAACCGCAAGCACATATTGACTCATGCCAAAATTTTAGAGAGATTTTGGAGACTATGACGTAACCTGCCCAACAAAAGTTACAGAAAATACAATAAATATACGGCTTCAATTCTTCAATAATCATCTCTCTTTTGCTTCTAATTTCATCCATCACTCTCCCTCCTTCCATTTTTGTAATTGCCATTGCAATAACTTGGCAAGCTACCTATATATGTATTGTCTCCTTGTAACCTTATTTAATGGCTATAAAATTTAATGTTCATGATTTAAAATGATGTATATATACTGTATAAAACTTTACTTTCTCCAATAGAATTTCTTCTTCATGAATTCTAGATTGTTCTAGTGCAAGGAAAGTGGGGCATGACTAGGCTAGTGCATGTATCACTAATGTACTGTAAATTATAATTCATCCCCACCATTAATTAATTGTTTTCTTTTCTTTTCTTTTTTAAATCAAAATATGCGAAAGCGCAAGAATTCATAAATACCTCACATCTAAGTTTATAGAACAACAATCAGAGTACTTGATGTGTCTTCTCTTTCAATAATTTTTTTTTTTTTTTTTTTTTTGGGTAATTAGGGGTGTCCAGGGTCACTTGCATACATTTCAACTAATCATCCGAAACCTTGAAGTTAATGGCTAGATAATCCTTTAGTGATCATTCTTATTAGTAATAAAGGTGAATCGAACTCAAGACCTCTTAAATAATACATCCAAGAGTCTCAGTTGACCGCTTGGCCACCCAAGAGTTGGTGTTTTTGTAATTTAATTGCAATATAAATACTTATGTGAAAATCATATAACAGAGAGTAAAAGAGAATATCTATAGATGTTTCTATTGATTGATTAATTGATGACCGCGACTCAAAGGCAAGATCCCCAAGGTATAGCTAACCCTAGTGACTAAAGAGTTTACCATTCGACTACAAAGAGAGAGGTATCCGACTACAAAGAGAGAGGTTACATATGTTATTTGGTAATCGTCACTAGTGGTTTAGAGATAGTAAGTGCACTCATGGATGCTTAACCCAATAATTCTATTACTATAATGAAAATTTAGTTCAATGAATAAGTTGTTGATCATGAGATGTACAAAAATTAATTAAAAATGTTGACTTTATGACTCATAAGCAATTGAAAGATACGTCACTTCATTATCACGAATTTAGGGTATGTTTGATACGCAATATAATATAATATTAAATAAATCACATAACATAGCATAACATTGTATTGTATTATATAAAGTTATGCTAAATGTTAGTATGATGTTTGGTAGAACATTCGTTGCATTATTTTTATATTATGCTATATTTGGTATATGAATATTGTTTTTTGTATATATTTTTAATTATTATGTAACTAATAATTAAAAAAAAGTCAAAAGATGAATTCGTTAGTGGTCAATGTCGATAAATGAAAATCAAAACACTAGTCAATATTGGTCAAACGATGGTTAATGTAGTTTGACCAAGCATTGCAAATTTAAATTTATAAATGTTAAACTAATTAGTAATGCTTATTTGCTTAAAATTAATGTTGAGTAAATTACATTAACTTATGTCCAGGTTTTACTTGGCATTATTTTATGTAGAGTATACTACATTATTTTAAACTTGACATTATTTAATGCTATGCAATAAGCAATTTTGTTATCAAACACAGTATTGCATTATTTAGTGATATGCAGTATCTCTAATGTTATGCTATATCGCTTGTCAAACATACCCTTATTTTACTATATAATGTAATCTACTTTCAATTAGTAAACTTGTTTCAATATTCGATTATAAAAGTAAATTCTCTATAACAAACTTGAATTCACCATGACGAATCAAGAGCATAATTCTGTTTTTGCCTATTTTTGTGTGGCTCTTTTCACATAGGAAATCGTACTTACCAAGAAGAAATCTATAACAATGATTACCTTTTTGTACTGTTTCTATTTGATTAAATTGTATTGAAATGACGTTTATGCCCCTAGACCGTCTAACACCCTCTCTAACCTCCATTATCTGATAGGGGTAATCGTACCACGTTCCAAAAATACTGGATGAAAGGATTATTTCTTCAAAAATTATGGATGAATATGATATTGTCCCGAGGAACTAGTAATATATTGCTTGGGTACATCCCCTTCTTCAACTTCAATGCTTCTTCGCCAACGCCTCACAATTCTCACTCGCCATCTCTCCACTTCCTCTTCATCCACCAAAATCCCACTTCTCTACACGCACACAAATGACAACCAAAATGACGCCGTCACTCTCCAACTCCTCTCGTGGGGGAGAGGCGCCTCAAGCCAGTTGGGCGGTGGCATTGAAGAAGTGAGACTCTACCCAGCCCCAGTTGCAAACCTCATTCTTTCTCTACCCTTTACCATCTCCCAAACTCCCGGCCGACTTGTTCAGAAAGATTCTGAAGTGGGTTCGGGTTCAAGTTCGAATATTTCAGGTGGGTTGTTTCATAGTGTGTTGGTTGTGGATGGAAAGCTGTGGGTTTGGGGGAAAGGAGATGGTGGGAGACTTGGTTTTGGGCATGAAAATTCTGTGTTTGTGCCTAGTTTGAACCCTTATTTGGGTGATGATCCTGTTCAGTGTGTTGCTCTTGGTGGAGTTCACTCTGTTGCTTTGACTTCACTTGGGAAGATTTTCACTTGGTCAGTGAGTAATTAACAACTCTACATTCATTATTGGTTGATTGATTGAGTGTTTGTTAGGTGTGAAGGTTTAAACATCGTTTGCTTAGGCGTGATTTAGCAAGCTTATTGAGTTATAACAAGTGTATATATGGTTGAGTAATCAAAGGTTAAAAAGTGTTTTTTTTTTTTTTTTTTTTTTTTTAAATAAGAAGTACATCAGCAAAAAGGCATACAAAAATAATCACTTTTATTTATGATTTGCAACAAGATGTTTGTGTTGGAGTCCATACACAATTATTGATCTTAAATTTGGAGTGATGTGCTGCAGGGGTAATGTAATACTCTAACCAAAAAAATTTGGGTATGGTAATTTATATTTTTAAAAGAGCTTATTGGGGAAGTTAGTTGACATGACATTGCACTCTCCTTGAATTGCAAACAAAGGATTATAAAACGGAAAGAAAAAGAGCTTTTATCAATTTATGGAATCACATTGACCAACAGAGCACTTTTCCTTTCTTATTTAGTAAAATGGAGATGTTGTTGTTATTCAAGATTTAGAATATAACTATGTCAGTTTAACTGGTTGGCCTGATAATTAATGATGTGCTTGTGCTTGATTGGATAAATATCAGGAGAAGAGAGTTGTGTGCACATATTCATCACATTGTGTGTTCACTAACGTGTTTTTAGCCTGAAAACAATGGCTCCTCATTAAAATGAAGTTTGCAGGGGTTATGGTGGTTTTGGTGCACTTGGACATTCTGTCTACATAGAGAGTTGTTTCCTAGATTGGTGGAAGGCTGGAATGGGGAAGATACGGCACATCGCAACCAGTAGGACACATGCTGCTGCAATAACTGAATCAGGTGTTCTCCTTAACTGACCCTGTTTTTGTAAGGAAATTCCTTACGTGTATATGAGTTTATATGGTTTTGATTTGTGACCTTGGAAACAACCCTCTTGAGTCTTGAACTCATAATGTGGAAAGCATATCAATCTCTAGTACTGCAGAAAAATTGAATGGAAAATATTTCAATGTCTGTAGGTTTATGCATCTTCCATTTATGGGTTTCTAGTTGTTCTTTATGAGAAGATGATTCATATTGCCTCAGTTTGTTACAGAAAGAATAAAGAAAGAGGGCTGTCAAATATCTTAATGCCTTCATGTTGTTTTTTTTTTTTTTTTTTTTGGCAGCAGATGCATGAGAATGCAGTTAAATTATATGCTGAATTAGCTTAGATAGCAGTGAATAGTTTTTTGATTTCAAAGGATTCACCAGGGATTGAACCAGTTAGGATTCATAATGGAGCTGAAGAGAATAAGGGGGCATTAAGAAAGTCTCGAGGGGAGGATGGTGAGGCGTTATAGATTTTAGAGTATCAGGCGCGGAAAGGGAATGTACAAAATTGGGTTGTCGTATTCCTTTGGATTGAGAGGATTGAGGCGTGATCGTGCCAAGGCATTGGCATGGTTTTCCAAGGTTGCGGATAGGGGTGAACCCCAGTCCATGGAATTTTTGGAGAGATATATGCAGGAGGAGCTGGTGTTGAAAGGAACTACACTAAGGCACTTGAATGGCTGGCGCTTATATACAGTATTTTTATTCAGCGTATAATGGAATGGGGTATTTGCATGTCAAGGGCTATGAAGTGGAAAAGAAAAATTACACCACAGTAAGTTCCTTTGCTTCTGTAGTGGTTTTTGTACATTTTGAGTTTTCAAGTGCATTAATTTAGTATCCGAGATAATTACTCTTGGGTTGGCATCATATAAAATTGAATTTAGAAGCAACTAACCAAAAGAGATTTAATGCTACTTATAGCAACAGCGATGTTTTTTTCACTATTTTTGCTTTTTGCTGTCATCTATATTGATTAAGCTCTTTAAAGTCTTTTAAGGAGTTATTTGAAGATTTTAGAATGAAAACCAATTCTTTGTACTATAGGAAAAAGAGTACTTTGGGAAGGCGGCTGATAATGAAGAGGCTAGTGGGCATTATAACCTTGGAGTAATGTATCTTAAAGGGATTGGAGTGAAGAGAGATGTGAAGTTAGCATGCAAATACTTTTTAGTGGTTGCCAATGCAGCTCACCAGAAGGCATTTTACCAGTTGGCAAAAATGTTTCACATAGGCATGGGGCTTAAGTATAATCTACAAATGGTAAATTTAGTGCTATTAGGGACCATTTGTACCTTTGTAGTTAATGCTATTATGGTAAATTTAGTGCTATTATGGCTCTCATCTCAACATGACTATGTAATCTCACTTTGTTTTTTGAGTATAGAGCCCATTTGTACCTTTGTAGTTAATGTTGTTGTATTTAATTTGATTACAAGATGGCTAATTTCTAACTAAGGAATACATTGTAAAAGTAGATTTAACTCAAATGAAATGTGTTAAGCAGTACAATTGTAAAAGTACTTTGTAGTTTGTACATTGTAAAAGTAGATTTAACTCAGATGAAATGTGTATCCAGGAAACTATACAATTGTAAAAGGTACTCCTAACTCAAATCAAAAGTGTTAAAGGAGTACAATTGTAAAAGTACTTTTAAGTTTTAACTCAAATGAAATATGTATCCAGCAAACTATACACTGCTGAAGCTGCCAAAAAAATCAGTTTTCAGATGCTGAACCAACACTGCACAAGTTGCAAAAATGCAAACAATTGAGCTGCAACTCCAGAAAAAACACTCCCGGAAACTGCCAGTCTAGAACAGCCGGGAACATCCAAGCAGCCTCCCCAGAATAAGCTTAACTTCCAGCAGACAAGAAACTGCAAAACCTGCAGAACTGTCCATGGAACAGCAGAAAAATGCAGCAATTAAGCTGCAGCTCCACAGCCATTCGTTACTAGATGGTGGAAGGTTCTTGGAATGGGAAAATACGGACATTGCAACCAGTGGGACACATAGTGCTGCAAAACTGAATCAGGTTGTTCTTCTTAACTGACCCTTTTTTTGTATGGAAATTTCTTTACATGTATATACTATGGGTTTGCATTTTAGATATAGGCTGCTTAACTGGACCAATTTATATGAGTTTTGATTTGGACCTTCGGAAACAGCCCTCGAACTCATAATGTGGAAAACATATCAAACTAGTACTGCAGTACAAATTGAATGGAACCTATTTCAAGTCTGTAGGTTTATGTATTCTGCATTTAGGGTTTCTAGTGTTCTTTATGAGAAGATGATTCTCATTGCCTTCATATTTGTTACGGAAAGAATAAAGAAGAGGGCGTCAAATATCTTAATCCACTATTATTGAATATAGGGGAACTTTACACTTGGGGTCGAGATGAAGGAGATGGAAGATGGGCCTTGGTCCTGTCAGGCCCTAATGGGAGGTGGACTTAGTATCCTCTCTAAGGTCAAAGCATTACGTATCTGTGGCTGCTGTTTCTTGTGGTGGCTTTTACAACAGTGTGACAGAGGAGGGCAACTTTGGAATTCGGGAGGTAAAGATATCAAATCTTTTGTCTTATTTTTCTCCTTATCTCTACCCAATTGTAGTTAGTTACTTTCATTTATTTGTTCGGAATAGTTGACAATTTGGATATCACCTCTTAGTTTTCAACTTTGATGAAATTCCATTTATCCGCTTGTGTAATTACAATGACATCATATTACAAATTGTCATGTGTTCTGCTCAGCAAGTTCTAACTATGAGCTTGGAAGAGGTGATAAGGTTGTGGTTGGAGACCCAAGCCATCTAGCCTTGAAGGTGTTTGTATCAAGATAGCAAGTGGTGGCTATCACTCCCTTGCATTAATGGTTAAATAATTGCTTAAATTCACAATTGCCATGGCAACCTTATTAAATCCATTCCTCACTTCTCACCCCCTCCCTATCTGGCTGTATATATATATGGTTTCATTTTTTATGTAAAATTCAGATGAAGGCAAGTTCTTTCTTGGGGATATGGTGGACATGGTCAGTTGGTGCATTCTTCAACCGAAAATCAGAAAGTACCTGTGGTGATTGAGGCTTTAGCTGATGAGCGTGTAGTTTACATCGCTTGTGGGGGCTCATCCTCAGCAACCATAACAGGTCCTTGATATTTCCATCACCCTTCAATCCTACAATCTTCCAAAGATCTATAGTTATCCGATCTCATAATAGCACAGAAATGAGGTTTGAGGATATCTTTAGGATTCAACTAAGTTGAAAGATACTTAAATTTAATAAAATCAAAATTTGGTATCCTTATAGAACAATAATTTTATATGCAATCAAATAAATAAAACTCATGATTAATATTTGTTTTTACCATATTGTTTGATAATTTGCTATATATTCAGATAAGGGGAAGTTGTACATGTGGGGGAAATGCCAAAGATTCTCAATTGGAGGTTCTGGGTTGCAGAGGGTACACTGTGTCTGTTGAAGTCAAGTTTCTAACGGAGGATGATGGATGGGACCCACAAGTGTTATCTGTTGCAGTTGGTGCATCTCATGCATGTGTTTGGTTTCAAGGTCATGTTGTTAAAGATGGTCTAATAATCGAAAGGTTTTCTCAACTCATATAGACACAACAAACAAGTATGTATCGTTTAACAGCTCAAACAGAGGCTAGAACAGATGTGTAGACTTGGGATAGGATAAGTTCTTTAAGTTACTAAAATATTGCCAAAGCATTTAGGAGGTGAATCAGGTTGCTGACTGGTTAGTCAATAAGGGAGCTTCACCTTGACAATTGCTGATCACTAACTGCTTTTGTTTGAATCCCTTTAATGAATTAATTATCTGGAAGACTAGAGAATTTTGACGTTATAAGCTCCTGTCACAAATGCAAGTTACTTCTTAATTGTCCCTCTCATTGATGCATCGTCTCATACATATTAGTTTATTGACATTCCTTTTGTTGAAAGTTTATTGCAAACATGACTACTTTTCCTTTAAATGTTGATCATATTGCTTAGTTGTTTTTATTTGAAGTCAGCATGAGAAAGATTTGCGATGAATTTAATAAGAAAGCATGCAAATAAATATGTTTGCTCAGGTGCATTTGATGCCTGTACGAATACCATTGGTTTGTTTTTGTATGATCTTTGATGCTCTGGAACTGTGGACAATATTATAAGTGATAAATTTAAAGTTGGTATATTCGAGAAAAACTAGAATATCACAAGATATCATGTCAGTCCTGTCACAATCTCATGATATATGTCTGAGAATTTTCTTTACATCCATTTTTATAATCAATGAGATTGGTGATTAAACTGAATATCTATGTAGTATGCATATATTGTTTGTGATATCATTATGCAGTATCCCGTGGTAACATAAACTTTTTCGTTCTTGAAGAAGTTAAAGGGTAGAATTTGCCTCAATGTTGGCAGATCTCATAGAAGTTAAGCCAGCTAAAAAACTATGACATTACTGGAGAACATCAATTCACACAAAACTTATGTGATTTAAACTTTTTGTCTCCTCATCTCTCTAACTAGAATTATAAATATCGAGAATATGATACAACAAAATGATCATCCAAGAAGTAAATATTTACTGTCTTTATGCACATCATAAATTCAGTATTTGTTATACAAAGATGTGATACGACTTGTATTTTAAGTTTTTTCAACCAACTATTCTTACAAAACCTCTGATACAATCACGAAAGCTTAAAGCAGAGAAAATATAACCAAGAAAGAGTTTCACAGAAAAACCAGAAGCAAAAATGAGTTCCAACTATTGATTTTGCAAAGCGGCTTTTGGATCGAGATGGTGGTTCTCATCAAGTTCTTGGCATCATGAAAACAATTGAGGGCTCTTCTGATCACACTTGATCACTTCCAGCTTTTGATACTACAATAAGGTTATAATCTTCTTATGTGACCCTCCCTCACTGCAAAAATCTAAAGTTTACAGAGAAAAACTTTTGACTGATCATAGAGAGGAGTTACAAACCTTATGTAAAGAAGCTATTATTGAATGTTCTTTTAAACACTAACTCAGCTCACTTGCTGGTTGGTGTTTGATATGTTTTGTTCATCAATTGTAGATGTGGAAATGAACTCGGTGTTCCTTCATTTGTTCTTCACTTGTAATGCAGATTTTTTGGTCTCATGTTGTACCTTCCAGGTTGAGATGATGAAGTTGGAAGAGAATTTGAAGAGTCTAATTCTGATTATATAATTCCTGGTTTGTTAATCCAATTCCTAGCCGAAATTTTCCTTTGTTTTGTTTAAAAAGTATGGTGTGTGATATATTGTGAAGCATGGAGAAGATTCAAGGAGACCAAAGGGATTATTGTCAACACTTACACAGAGCTGGAGGATGCGTTAAGTGTTCGTTGAATGATTTTGAAGACGATAATTTACCTCCTGTTTACACAGTTGGGCTGCTTATTGATGTGAAAGGGGAGAGTGATAAGTTTGTTCGATGATGATCAGAAAGAGATGAGATCCTGAAATGGCTGATGATCAACCTGATTAAGAGTTCTTTCTTGTGCTTTGGAGGCCTGGGGAGCTTTGATGAAGAGAAAGTAAAAGAAAAACACTCGGGCTGGAGCAATGTGATTACAAATTCTGTGGTCTTTACGCAAGTCGCACCAAAGGATAAATTTGAAGGGCCTAGTGATTACAAAGGTGATCTCAGGAAGTATTGCCAAATGGGTTCCTGGAGAAAACAAATAAGACTGGTTTGGTATGTGGAATTCAGTAGGTGTTGGCCGTAAATCAGTAGGAGCATTTGTGTCCGAGTGGGGTGAATTCAATCTTGGAGAGGTTGTGGTTTGGAGTTCCAATGCAACATGGCTATGTATGCAGAGCAATAGCTTAAGCATTCCAAATGGCAAAAGATTTGGAACTGGCTGTGAGGTGATATTGGATTATAGAAATACTATTTTTCAGTGTGATCAAATCTTGTTTCTTACTTTCTACTGAATAACTGGAAACGAGAAAGATTGTAAGTTCCATGTTGGGGTTAGTGTCCATGCCTCAAAGGGCACAAACTTTCTTCAGTGCTCAATCAAATTTTGTTCAAAATTGCCACTGCCATGTGATTAACTGCTGGAACTAAGGACACTTGTCGTGTATGCTAATAAGCGAAAATATAAATACATAAATTTGTTCTCAAATAAAATGTGTCATGGATGACGATAATAAGGTGAGGAAGTGAAAATTGTTGCCATTTTAACAATTATTAGACCTTAAAATTGTGATCAGGATTGACTTAACCCGATTAGAGATAAAATCGAATAAGACAAATACATTTGCATGATTGAATAAGACAAGTACCTTTACATGATTCGGCAAGAAATGCCGTGACAACATGCAAGCTTGATTGGGTTGGGATTGATAATAT